CTATTTCGGCAAGGCATGCGAACACCAGTCGTTCGGGAGTTTTTATGCATTCGTGTGGACTTTTACCCAGATAGCCCTCCCATGGAGTCATTCGTATACCGAAGGACTGGTGAAAGACTTTGACTCCATGGCGATTCGACTAGATCGGATCTGAGCGCTATTCGGTGAAAATATGCACTCAGATCCAGGCTGTCTGGGGATACGTTAAACGAACTATATCCATTCGGTATTTTCCCAGTTATGTATTTTAATGTATTTTTGTCACTGTATTTTAAAATGGCAATTGTCTCTACCCTGGGAGATAATTAGGTTTCTTCCTAATTATCTCCGGAGTAGAGAAGACGGATTTGTGGGTAAGATGGGAAGGGCTCATATTGAAGCCACTGCGATTGGCTACTGTATAATATATTTTACAGTCTTCCACAAGGTCCCCTCGGGGAGTGTCCACCTTGTGAAGACCTGCATAAATACCGGGCAGGTAGCCCCCATTAAACAGATCCTTATTTGACCCTCAAGACGGAGCTTGGTCTCGTTTGTGGGGGAATTATTACTGGGACAGCGCTTTCGTTATTTTTAGCTTTGGAAGGCGTTCGACTGTTTTGCTGATCGGGAGTTGCCGTGTTCGTGGACTTCGTTCGGGAGTTTGGCGGTCGGCTGGATATAAACTGCATTTCTGGAGAAGGGGATTATTTACTAAACGGCGGCTTCATCTACCTGGCGGTGAGTGTCGTAACAGGTATTATTATACAGGCAGTGCCTTCCTTATTAATGTATAGATACTCAGTATTATTATACAGGCAGTGCCTTCCTTATTAATGTACAGATACTCTGTATTATTATACAGGCAGTGCCTTCCTTATTAATGTATAGATACTCGGTATTATTACACAGGCAGTGCCTTCCTTATTAATGTATAGATACTCAGTATTATTATACAGGCAGTGTATCCTTATTAATGTACAGATACTCGGTATTATTATACAGGCAGTGTATCCTTATTAATGTACAGATACTCTGTATTATTATACAGGGCAGTATCTATTTATATTGCAACTTGTAGAGGCAGTGAGAGTTGTGAATTATAAGCAATAGTGGTGCAAAGTTCTAAAAGTGAAGCAATCACTATGGAAACCAATAAATTGTTCAGTACAGACCAACGTCGCACCACATTCTCTGACTCACCTCTCGCTGACCTCTTTGACTTTAAGAATGTTGGAGAAGAGAATTTTTCTCTCTCTAATTATTAAGCAATCGAGAAGATCTCGGTATCCCAGAAAATGTTCGGTCAGCACGTTAAGTGAACGGAGATAAGATGCCTCCGATGTCAAAACTTCAAACATGCTCTAGAAAGAAAATAAAAACAAGCAGGTGTCAGTAGTGGGATATGACAAACCAAAACAACTCTACAGTAAGGGGACAATGGTACATTTCTGGGGTCTATTGAATATCAGATTTATGCATGAATTCGGTCTGTATTTATAAACACACCATCGTCATTTATACATTATTTGTCCCCAGTGCTCTCTCTTTGTTACCCCTGTGATATGGGGACATTTAAATTTGCTTTGTATCACAGTGTTGTTGCTGTCAATACAGACATATAAAAATGTATTAAAAGAGAAAAACAATCCTTAGAAGTGAAAGAGTTGATCTATTTCTAAATTATCCAAAAGCATAGAGTTTTTTCCCAGTCTTGCCATCGGGTGGTCAGCTCACATACAACGCTGTCAGCGGAGTTCTCTATTCTGAGAATTGAGTGACTGTAGATGGAATGGACACTATTTTAATAAGAAATATCTACACTTTAAAGTCATCCCAAGAATATATACCCCACAGGTGTAACACAGAAACACACCTTGTCATTGGGATCGGGATCGCAATGCATCACCCAACAAATATGCACCGCTCAAAGCACACAATATCTGAATGACCACGGACACATATTTGCCCAACGTTGGTCATTTTACCTGTAGTGGAGCGGCAATTGTAGCGGAGCGGGAATATTAAATCCCACGATCTACGCTGGTTCAAAAGGTAATCCACAGTCAAGCGCTGAAAAGCAAGGCAATATCCCCAATCTCCCAGTAACCGGACGAAACACAGTTTCAGTCAACTGAAGGCTTTATTCACAGGCTCCACAATTTATCCAATTCCCCATGCAAGGGGTTTCCTGAGTCCTATCCCAGGGGTATTCCAGGGGTGGACTACGTGGGGAACTTAATGTACAGAGCCTTCCTCCCATAAGGCACTGCTGCATGAGAGGAATCCTCCCACTGGAATATACTGTTAAGTGGATTATCCCTCCGTGCAGCAGAACCGGCAATTTACTTTAAAATATACAGTTTTTCGAATATTAGGTCTATTTGCACGAATGGACGTTCGGTAGATAGCTGGGGTCTGAGCGCATCATTCGTGAGATTCCTGCTCCGATCCCAGCTAAAACAACCGAACGCCGCACGAAAAACATATTCATTAAAACACACACTTAAAAGACCGATTGCTATATGGGGAACAAAATACCGAACGGCCCGGAACTGCCGAACGGCCTGTAAGCTCAGCGGTGTTCGCGCCGTCGAGTAGCCGTTTTTAGTACCACACGCTCGACGACCAAACACCGCTGGGGAAACAAAGGATCCAAGATGGCCACCTAGGAGAGCCTCTAATTACCGATTGCAACATTGTTGCAATCTGTTAACGAGCGCCACATGTCTCTCAATGTGTGGGCTGTTACAGGGTGGTTATTTCGGTTCACGAACGGCCCGCAAAAGTGCCGTTCGTGAAACGAAAGGGAATCAGCTATCTGCTTTCAGCAGGCAATACAAAGCTACACAATCGTATTACAGTATACCCAGAAACACACATAACACGAAAATCATACAGGCAACCCTTAAAGCGATAGTACATAAATAATGTCCAAGTGGCTAGATTTGCCACATTAGCCATGTCAGAGGAATTTAGTGATTTAGAGGTTTGTTTGATTCCGTGCCCACCCAGCGTTTATAAACGCTCACCTCTTGCATCTTCTTCTGCTCGTTTGTCATCCCGTCCAGCACGCCGCTCTCCCGGACGGCGGGCAGCTCCTGCCACAGCGTGTTGTGTTGCGTTGCTGACCTACGTCCTTGTTTTGGGGAGCCGCCAGATGAGACAGGGCTGTCATGGGAGTAGTCGTAGCTGGTGAAGCTGCTGTTTCGGGTCACGGTCTGTCTTCTGATCTCCTTTGTGATCACAGCCTGGCGGTACGTCTGATAGAGTGGCTCTAAAAAGAAGACAAACAGAATTGATATATCAGATGTACAAGCTTTGTACAGAGACCACATCGAATAGGATCTCTTGGTTCATAGCATTAAGACACGCTTATACATATATACTTACCTGTAATATTATTATTTATAAAGTGCCAACAAATTCCACAGCGCTGTACAATGGGTGGACTAACAGACACGTATTATCATCTGCCTTCTCCTACACAGCCACCACTGTGGATGCTAGACACATTCTCTACTGAGTGGGAACAGTTAATATTTAAATTCTAGAAATGGAACACATGAAACAGCTTTTTTAGCGGATACAATATGTACAGAGAACGTCGTTATTATACAGGAGTCCCAAGAAGAACAAAAAAAGAATGATCTTTACTTTGTTCTATCTCCCACGGTTTAAAATATTTTTAGTAATTAATATCATCCTAATTGCCATGGAACTATTTTCACGGATCAGTATCCACTGTAGTGAAGAAGTATGTGCTACAGTCAGATTGGGAACATTAACTCCTGGATAAAGGGTTACCACCCAGTGATGGTCTAGACTTTTAGTATATTGAGGCTCTGGAGCTCTGTGATGAATAGGACCAGGTCTCCACATAGCATTCATCATCAATGCTCCAACATCTACAGAAACCACCGGGCAGACAGTAACCCTCCCCCACATACCAGTGGGTAGTCAAAAACCCTTTCCAAATACCCCAAACAAAACTGGGAGGACAGTATCACCCCCAACCCCCCCTGCACTATAATACCCCAGATACTAGAGCATAGACTGTACCCCCCACACGCACTCTAATACCCCACACACCAGTGGGCAAACAATAACCCTTCCCAAATACCCCAGACAACACTGGAAGGACAGTAACCACCCCAACCCCCTGCAGTATCCCCCTCTAATACCCCAGACACCAGTGGAGAGACCGTAACCCTCCTCTAATACCCCAGACACCAGTGGAGAGACAGTAACCCTCCTCTAATACCCCAGACACCAGTGGAGAGACAGTAACCCTCCTCTAATACCCCAGACACCAGTGGAGAGACAGTAACCCTCCTCTAATACCCCAGACACCAGTTGAGAGACAGTAACCCTCCTCTAATACCCCAGACACCAGTGGAGAGACAGTAACCCTCCTCTAATACCCCAGACACCAGTGGAGAGACAGTAACCCTCCTCTAATACCCCAGACACCAGTGGAGAGACAGTAACCCTCCTCTAATACCCCAGACACCAGTGGAGAGACAGTAACCCTCCTCTAATACCCCAGACACCAGTTGAGAGACAGTAACCCTCCTCTAATACCCCAGACACCAGTTGAGAGACAGTAACCCTCCTCTAATACCCCAGACACCAGTGGAGAGACAGTAACCCTCCTCTAATACCCCAGACACCAGTGGAGAGACAGTAACCCTCCTCTAATACCCCAGACACCAGTGGAGAGACAGTAACCCTCCTCTAATACCCCAGACACCAGTTGAGAGACAGTAACCCTCCTCTAATACCCCAGACACCAGTGGAGAGACAGTAACCCTCCTCTAATACCCCAGACACCAGTTGAGAGACAGTAACCACCCTCTAATAACCAAGGCACCACTGGGCAGGCAGCACCCTTCTCTAATACCCCAGAAACCAGTGTGAGGAGACAGTAGCTACTGGGGTGGGAACATAAAATACTACAGTCAAAACTAGTGGCACTAATAATTTCCATCACTTAATTATATACATAGTGATCGCATGGCAAGGGATAGGGGCTGTAGTGGGTGCAGAGGATGGATAGGGCTGTAGTGGTTGTAGGGGAGGGATAGGGATGTAGTGGCTGTAGGGGAGGGATAGGGATGTAGTGGCTGTAGGGGAGGGATAGTGGCTGTATTGGGTGCAGGGTATGGATAGGGTTGTAGTGGTTATAGGGGAGGGATAGGGGCTGTAGTGGGTGCAGAGGATTGATAGGGATGTAGTGATTGTAGGGGATTGATAGGGTTGTAGTGGGTGCAGAGGATTGATAGGGCTGTAGTGGTTGTAGAGGAGGGATAGGGCTGTAGTGGTTGTAGGGGAGGGATAGGGCTGTAGTGGTTGTAGGGGAGGGAAAGCTATTAGGAGCTTTAGTGGGTGTAGAAGGTTGTAGAGGAGGGATAGTGGTTGTAATGGGTGCAGAGGATGGATAGGGATGTAGTGGTTGTAGGGGAGGGATAGTGGCTGTAGCGGGTTCAGGGGAGGGATAGGGTTGTAGGGGAGGGATAGGGGCTGTAGTGGGTGCAGAGGATTGATAGGGTTGTATAAGTTGTAGAGGCTGTAGTGGTTGTAGAGGAGGTGTAGCGGATGGCCATGAGCTGCCCTGGGACTTGTATTATGTGTAACCTGTATTCGTCTAATTGCTAAATGTCTATGCAGTAAGGGAATGTATTCGTGTAAAATAGCCAAGTTCTATTGGTAAAATGTATTGGATTCGTCTGAATGTTAGGTAGTTTCATTCCCTTAGTTTGTTCGAATGAAACTACCGAACAGTCAGACCTCCCCTGTGTGAAGTGTGCCTTCAATTACCCGTTGCAACATTGTTGCGAACGGGTAATTGACAAGTGAAGTAGCCGTCCTTTGTTCTCGGGGGTGGCCGCCATTCGAGAAACAAACACGTGGCGGCGGCCATCTTAACCCCCCGAACAGCGGTGTTTTGCCGTCGAGTGTCTGGAACTCAAAACGGACACTCGACTAGGCGAACACCGCTGAGACCTCCATCAGCCCGGTCCGTTCGGTTCCAAACTACCGAACGGCTCCTCGTTCAGTAGGCATAATCAACCAAACGAGGGGATTCAGGCAAACCCTCCTGAGCCTCTATAGCTGGAGGCTTTCAGGTACTTAATTTGCCTTTTCCAGGACCGACCTCAGGGCCCCATCGCATGGAGCCCAATTCGGCTAGTTCATCCAGCACGGTCAGTCATTTTATTCCCTCCAGGAAATTCCCGAACCCCTGGTCCGATCTGTGTGATTTTTGGATATGTTGTTCACCCAGATCAGGGCTACCAGGGGATGTATAATTTAAAGGGGTACCCCTAGGTTTAGGGGTACATCCAGAAACGGGGGGGAATTGTTGTACTGGATAAGGGGATTATGATGCCGGCTGAGGGGAGGAGATGTGTGGGAGGTTACTATTGCAGGATTGGCTACTGTATTAATGAATGGAAATCCCTCCCTTGCATGGGAGCATGCTATATAAGGCACTGTGGAATAAAGGTTGTCAGTTCTGCTCCTGATGCTGTGTGTCGTCCAGTTATTGGGATTGCTGTGGGGATACTATTGGATTATTTTGCCTGTAGGAAACTTTGCCTGTGGATTTATAATTTACTTGTTCCTGAGCCTCACTGCGATCATAAGTGGAGATAACCCGGGGAATATTGTATCTCCGCTACAGGAGGGATAGTGGTTGTAAAGGAGGGATAGTGGCTGTAGTGGGTGCAGAGGATGGATGGGGATGTAGTGGTTGTAGGGGAGGGATAGTGGCTGTAGTAGGTTCAGGGGAGGGATAGGGTTGTAGTGGTTGTAGGGGAGGGATAGTGGCTGTAGTGGGTGCAGAGGATGGATAGGGATGTAGTGGCTGTAGGGGAGGGATAGTGGCTCTATTGGGTGCAGGGGTAGTGACTTGATAGGGCTGTAGTGGTTGTAGGGGAGGGATAGTGGCTGTAGTGGGTGCAGAGGATTGATGGGGCTGTAGTGGTTGTAAGGGAGGGATAGGGGCTGTAGTGGGTGCAGAGGATGAATAGGGATGTAGTGGCTGTAGGGGAGGGATAGTGGCTGTAGTGGGTGCAGAGGATGGATAGGGATGTAGTGGCTGTAGGGGAGGGATAGTGACTGTAGTGGTTGTAGGGGAGGGATAGGGCTGTAGTGGAGGGATAGGGCTGTAGTGGTTGTAGGGGAGGGATAGGGCTGTAGTGGAGGGATAGGGTTGTAGGGGAGGGATAGGGGTGAAAGGGCGGTAGTGGGTGAAAGGGGCAATAGGTGCATATATTGGAGATAGGAGCTGTGATGGGGATGAGGCAGTAGTGAGGAAATAAGTGATCATTTAATCAATTTAAAAGAAAAAACCATTAGAAAGCATTTATTCCCCACTGAGGAACACAGGTTCTGTAGTAACTGATTCACAAGAATACAGGACTGGACGAAACTGGATTATTATGGTAAATGTTTGCTAAAGAAATTGTAAAAACAAAAGAACCAAAAATAGAGCATGTCTTTCTCTCTCTCTTAACAAGGAAATAATGGCAGCAAAAATGTAAGAATAAGGTGAGAATGGTAATATAATATCTGAGAAAAAAAAAAAAACACAAATCATATCCAGAGTCTTTTATGAAATCAATAGAATGAGACAAAGAAAGTATCCCATATCCTGGGACAAAAACACTTCTGGTCTCCCCAGCTGGCTTGGGGCACTGGACCCCTCGTGATAACTAGTGTCCATGGAGTGGGGCGCGTCAATACTCTGTCCAGACCAGACCCCACTGCTATGGTATGGGTGTATCCCCGTCCCTGTGTCGGGCAGTATTTCTAGCTATAGAACTGCTCCCACAATACGAGTGTCCATCTTGCTCCGAGACTGGCCCGGACATTAATAATACATTTTCAAAATAAACTAATGTAGATCTAAAATACGAAAAACAACTCCTAGCGTAATACAGTAGGAACACTTACAATGATATATGGTTGAAGGTTTTATTTACTGTATTACCATCGGAGTGGTTTTTCGTATTTTAGGTATACATTAGTTTGTTTATATTGTTTGAGGATAAAGAGGAATCCTTTATACCGATCGTTATACCGATCTTTTCAACGTGGAAAGGTAAATACCACTTTTATTGTAACCTTACTGCACCTTAGGTGGTTATATTATTGTTTGACATTTTCAAAATTGTAACTTTTTTTTTTGCTTCGACAATAAAAATACAGATAGTGACAGGAAATTACTCCAGAAAAAAAAAGGTCAATAATATTCTAGCAGCCACGATGAGAATTAACAAACACCCCATATACATCCAAAACATTCCTGTACATTAACAGAACTTCTTCTAACAGCTGTGTGCGATCTCACGTGGACAGTACGGGACTTTGATCACATGATCGTGGTCGGCTAAGCATCTTATAGCCCTATGTCACAACATGTCACTTATGGTGAATCTTAACCTAATTTTAGTGCTTAATCTGCTACATTTCATTCCTCCCTTGGAAGCCAGTTTGTTCCTGCTATAAAAGCACATACTGATATGTGTCTGTAATAGCTAGGCACTGTTATTCAGGCAGCTGTGGAGGGATGAGCCACTATACCCAAACCTTGGCCAGACTAGGGGCATAGGCGCTGCGGAGAGAACTAAACGTGAGCCTCAATACACATGGCAGCCGGTGCAACCCATAGGAAAAGTATTGAAAAACTGTTCCCCAATCTGATGGACATACGGACGTCACCAGGACGTGCATCATTTATCATGCTATTCCCAAGTATTCCTGATCATACAATCTGCTTGAATCACATCTAAGTAAAAGACCCTTAACTCTAAATCTTTAGTTTTTTCAGGTGGGAGCTTAATTACAAGCCATACTAATTTAATAACTTGGACTATCCCACAATGCACTCTCACTGCGTAGACAAGTAGTCACGAAGACTATAAGTGAAAATAAATAAATAAAATGCAAACAGAAGGAGCCATCACATTGCTTACATCATGGCATTTGACTGCCGGAGGTCTAGGTAAGGGTTGGACTTTCAGTCCCGTTTATGTAAAACAGAGCTGGGAATCGTGAATTAAAGTGACAGAAATCGCCTTAATCTTTTAATGGTGCAATTTTTGTTTGTGTGTTTGGGGTAATACACCTGCTACGGTAATTAATTTTATTCATGCTGGTCCTGGTGTTTGATATTAATATTTTAAAAGGATGTGAAAAAACGCAATATTTATTCCTGGAAACGGTTACCGCCACTTTTCACAGCATTTTATATCTCGTGACAGATGCAAATTTATGCAGTGATGGGACTGCATTTTACACACAATAAAATAGTGTCAATTCTAATACTAATTAACATTGCTGTGCTAATAGGATCACCAAAAATATACAGATCATATACACTCACCGTCCCGCAAGTGAGACTCCCAGTCTATGGATCTTGGGCTCTTGATGGTTGGAGACCTAGCAGTGATTAAAAGCAATCTTTCAATATTGTTACAATATATCGAAGAGAGGAGATAAAAGGAAGATTCAATCGATACAGGCTGCAACAGAGAATGCAGACAAATGTACACAGAGACAAACTGACAATAAGACAAATCCGAGAAACAAACATGAGAGCCAACACAGTGTTAGAGTGCCAGCTTTCAAAATCCTTTTGGGAATAATGTACAAATCAGCCTAAGGAGTCTATTTCAGTGCAGGTAAGTGCCCTTATCATGCAAACAATATATGGATACACTTTATAAAGAATAAATCTTCAACTATTCATTATGCCAGAAGATTTTCTCGAAAAACACCTGGGTTTATTCACCTTATGGAGTTTAAAATGGGGTAATTCAGGTAATTTGGAGGATATTATTAAGAGCAAGATTTCTAAATCTAGTATTTTTACAGAATGGAAAAGGGCCTTGAATTAGCCCAAACGGTGTCTCTGCTGAAAAGGAGTGAATTAGCCCCAAACGGTCTCCATCGCAGCCGTATTTACTGGTGTCAGGGGTCCCTCACAAGAGTACCCCCAAATCATTTAATTCATTCACAGACATTCAACTCTTTCCTTCACTTTGTCAATGAGGAATCCTCACCTGAATACAGAGCTTTCCTGAGAGGAGTCCATTAAATCTAAATACAAATAATAAGATAAATGGGTTAAAACAGGACACTGAATTATTGCAATTTATCTGCAATCTATAGGAGTTTTTGATTGTTAGTATAAACACTCACATGTGACTTGTAGAAATCATTATACATATTTAATATATAAAAGTATAATTTATAACATATATTTAATATACTATGTAATATATATATATAATGAGGAACTATTAAAGAATCCCGGAGTTCTTGGCCAGAAAGTATAATTAGAAAATACAGTTAATAATACAGAAAATACAAGATTCAAGTAACTCATTGTCATCCATCAGCTGTCGCTAAAAATGAGGTCTGTGTCACTGCGGGCTTTCACACTAATAATAAAAACCTGACATTAATAGAGGTGGGAAGCCACGGCAAAGGAAATGTCACTTATAAGAGCCTTGTTTTACATCCTGAATATTTTTATTTTCAAACGGCAGGTCTATGGGTACAGCTCCCAACCAAGATCCCATGTGTCTGGGGGTTCCTCACTGATGGGTCAGGTAAAGCAGAGGGTTCCCTATGTCTGAACCTAGTCATGATAGAAAGGATAATAACTGAATATCTTGCACGCAAAGCCTCAGTTCTGTTAAATGGATGGAAAATATGAATCAGGTCTGAAGATCAGCTATAACAAAGGAAATTATTGCTCTTTAATGAGTAAGTTTACCCACAGATTTTTAAAAAGCAAACAAACTGTCTCAGTTTAGAGGTTCGGTTGAATCCCATAAACCTGGCGGCGCAGGAGGTATTTACCATCTTAAAGGGCAGAGATTTCAACCAGCTAGAGACCCGAGCAGGAGTTTCTACACAGTGGAAGATTTCAAATGTTCGGAATGAGGCCATTACAAACCACAATATTGTACATTTACAGGGTTATTTAAAAAAAAAAAAAAAAAAAACAGGAACCCAGGAAAATTGACAAGTATTATACATTTTTAGCCCAAAATAGCACAGACAATATATATATTGTAGCCTAAATCTCACTATTCACAACACAAAAATGTAAAATATATTTAGATTCCCAAAACTTAAATATAAATTGAACAATATCAGAAAAAGGAGACAAATCACTAAAGTCTGAATTGTCAGGAATTCACTAAAGTGAAAATTGTTGTGAATTCAAATTGATTTAAAGTGAACATTTATGAATAATATAATTTACCTGAAATCGCTCCAATATACATTAAATACTCCATTTATCACAAAGATACCTGATGTATTTAATGTGAGATATAAAGATTTACTCACTTTTCCTCCATTCCAGGACCTCTTCATGTACTAAGCGTACCCGATCTCCCGGTGACCGGCCGGTCACTGAATGTAGCATGGCCGGGCAGGCGAACTGTGGTAGAGAAGGTTCTGTTTCCCTATCCGGTCCAACAGGAAGTGCTCACAGAGACGTCCTCAGACGAGCGAGCGCTATAAGCTTCCCTATAGGAAAGCATTGAATCAAATCTTTCATCAAATCTTTCCTTTTGGGAAATAGCGGACGCTGGATGTCCAGCGTCAGTTACTGAACCAAAATGCTGTTAACATCCAGGAAGCCCCCCCCCCAGGGACTGTCTGGTAGACAGCCACTAGAGGCAGACTAATCTCTGCAATGTAAATGTTTCTCTGGAACTGCAATAGGGACATTGCACCCAGACCACACCAATGAGCTGGAGTAGTCTGGGTGCCAATAATTTCCCTTTAACATGAGAATAGCCTACTTGGTATCAGAGAGATATATTATATTACTAGATTATGAAAGGGGTCCTGAGACTCCATGTGGTCTCTAATGGGGCCTTGAGGGGACAAAATTCGCTCCGGTTGCTAAATGCTCTAGGTACACCCCTCCACTCTGACTTTATTCTTCTTAGATCTGCCCTTCTTGGGTAGTATTCCCAAGCAGGTGAAATCTCCTCAGTGATGTCAGCAATATGGCTTCATTGCCAGTGTGCCGGCATCAGAAAGGAATGACATCACATCTTTCCATTACTATACTCCCTAGCCAGCACTAGAAGCACCAGCTACGGAGTAGGGCATGCGCTGCGATAGCTATGGGAGGAGAGCAGATGGACCTCCTTTTCCGATCTGCCTTGTCAGCCAATGTCTCAGCACGCTGAGGAAATGATCGACAACTGGGAGGAAAAAAAGCTATTTTTTTAAATAGGATTTTCTCCTAATCTTTACATTTTCTTAACTGCCAGCACAAGTTATAGATAATATAGTATGCTCATGTATGTACGTAGCGGGGAATTACGATGCCACATAAACATAAATAACCCCAATCAACGACAGACCACTTAGTATGGATGAACAGGCCACAGCATTTATTATAACATAAATAAATTACTGCATAACACATCCATAACTTTATTTATTAAATCTCTTCTTTCTGTAACCAAAACGTTAGACATAAATAAGCATAAATTAACATATATACATATATAACTCCACCCATAGTGTTATACAGTGACCCAACCGTCCTTGCCAATAAACATACAGTGGTTCCTAATCACCACTTCCTCTCACCTCCCCCCTCGTCATAAAATCATAGCTTTACAAAGCCCGCCATCAGCTGACCTTATCCACGCTCGATGGGCACGACACCTCCGGCAACCTAATGTTAACCGTTTGAAGCAGGGGAGGTTGAGACCTGCAAACATAATGAACTTACTCCATCCTTAAACATAACCCCTTAAACTTAATTGGCAAGGACATACGCCCGGCTCACTGTGACTAACTAAAACTACAAAGGGGCGGGTGGGCGGGAAGCTGTTTGCTGGCCCGTATCCCAAGTGGCACTGAGGTAAGACCTCATCCACACTAACTCACTTTAAACCTAACCCCTCCCACACACACTTCCCAAGTAACTCCCCTGCATCTATCCCCACACTCCTACATGTGCCCTTGTCCGCTTAACTGCGCTATCTCCCCAGGGCCTATCTAATGAGCATTAATTGTTTGGGGCATGACAGGTGCCCTTTAATTTATATAGCCATGCTAGAAACATTCTCCATGTCAGCTCTGCTAATAGTTCAACTACTTTAGCCTTCAATTTAAAATCCTCTGTGAATTCCCAAAATATATCTCTTGAGTAAATAGCCCTGGTCACACTACACTGAATAATTCCATGTGTAAAACAACGTAAGATGTACTCGAGCATTGTAAAGAGAATTTGGTCAATCTGCAATAAGAATATTTCTACATCCAGCATGCCCAAGAGATGTCACTCTAGTTATTATATACAAACAACATAGATGTCTGTTAAGGCACATTTGTGGCATTTTATTCAAATTAGCATATTTCCTCCATGATTCCTATTTGCCAATGTTCACAATTTTATTTCTCTAAATTATAAGGCAACAGGAGAATGAAGAGCGAGACCTCACAAGAATCAGGATGGTTTTGCAGCACAATGATTATTTTTGTAACAAAGGATTATTGGAAAACAAATTTTTAGAACGTGCTCTGCCTCCTCTTTTCTAGATGGCAACTCTGAATACCATAATATGTAATATACACATTAAGAAATATACTCAATTGAATCAAGACAGTGTCTCTTACATACTGCTTAAGAGTTTTTAAAGGCTGGTTAGAACATACAGAGACATTTTATGGTCAAATGATGTGTGATAACTTTCTTGTACCAAAGTCCGCTAGGTCAAAGATATCATAACCTGAAAATAAACATGTTTTTTTGCTTTCAAACATGTGGCAATAAGACTCAGTTTCGATTAACCACTGCCTATCTAGCATCTATAGCATACATTAATGGAGCAAGTCTTGCTTCCAGGCTCTCAAGAGCAACATGGTGGCCCCACCAGTCTCTACTCACAGAGCTCAGGAATCTCTTAGATCTAGACATGTTACATAGTAATACATGGATAAAGATTTAATGTTATTATGATTCTATTAGTAACACTATATTTGCATATCATCACTCACCGTTTGAGTCGTCTGATGAGCTGGTACAGATACCTTTTGTCCTACTTGACAATTCAAGGGGCAGACTTGTTGTTGAACCCATTTTATCTCTCTCACTCATTTCTTCAGGGTTAGTCACAGAGTACCTCTTTAAAGATCCTTTCCTTAAAAATGGGGGTGGTGCGAGTGGAGGGGGAGGTGCTGCTCCTCGAGGAGGCTTGCTGGGTACTTTGGGGGGAAGTGTTAAAGGGGGATCCTCTCCATTCACAGATGGAGGAGGCAACTTGCTCCGACGAGCAGGTTTGCGAATCCTGGTACGGGAGTCTGCCTGTTCCTTGCATGATGGACCATCTGTATGTGGAATTTCAAAAGGGTTAGTATTTTTTAGCATTAAAGTTTCAGGACGTGAAGAATCCGTCTCAAAGTTTGACTCTAAATTGTGAGAAGGGGTTCCTACGGTTTGATCTGTGTTTGGTTTGTGGCTTCTCAAGCAAGGTGGTCCAGACTGAGGAAGCTCAGGTGCAGAGTCAATAGGTCTATGGAGCCCAAAGTCCTTGGACAATACTTCTGGTGGACCATTAACAGTGTGAAGGCCAGTCTTTATTATTTCTTCCCCGGAAGCTACCTCAGATAAATGTCCATCCTTAGACTTTGTTTTCAAACCCAGTTTTTTTGAATCCGAAGATTCAGAAACAGAATCAACACATTCATCTGTCCACAATTTCCTATGCGGTGGAACAAGAGGCTTCCTCTGAGGCAGAACAACTAGCTCTTCAGGGGTTGGGCAAGCCAAATCCCCATTTACACTGCATTCACTCGTGAACTTGTAAGAGGTTAAAACAACACTGTTTCTGGAGTCTGAAACATTATCCCCATCATTAACCTGACTGCCGTTCCCATATCTCTGTGACCGCCGCCTCACGGGGTAGCTGCCACTAGGGGACATCTTAGATTTTAATATACCCAATTTTCCTTCATCAGAGTCAGCGTTAATAGATAAGATGCGATTAAATATGCCGCCATCGTCAGAGGAATCAGAGGCCTCGTTTACACTGTTAGTTTGGGAAACAAAGGATTCTGGGACCCAGACCAATACCAGGCCTGGTCTGTGCTGGTGGCAGGCACAGCAGCATTGAGAGGGGCAGGCTGGCTGCATCTCGCAGGGTCCGGTCTGGAACTCACAAGTGCCTGGATCCTGGGAGAGCTTCGGAGGCAGAGCTGGAAGGTAAAATATAGAAAGGGGGAGTTAAAAAAAAAAAAAGGCTGAATTTATACATTTCAATAAACACTAAAAAACGTCTTTGTTGTTTACAAATCAGTCGGTCACGTCACTCTACAATTACCATCTATTGTTTAAAATGCAGTAGGAAAAGGAGAGTATTTATCCAGTTTTTAGTTTTCTGGCAAATTATATAAAGTTTTAATTAAAACGAGATATCCTATGTGAGCAATAAACCTTAAAAAAAGGGGAATTTTTCTTCCCAGGATTTTTATTACTACATAACGTGTGCCTTTGTAAATCTAAATTTTAGTCATGCAATAAAATACTATTATATCTCAGTTTGGGAAATTAAAGGGACACTCTAAACATTAAAACAACTTTATCTTAATGAAGTGGTTATGGTGTTTAGATCATCCCCCTGCAGTCGCACTCCTCAATTCTCTGCCATGTAGGAGTTAGATCACTTTGTCTTTACAGCCCTAGCCACACCTCCCGGCATGTGATTTACACAGCCTTCCTAAACACTTCCTTTATTGCACAATGTGTTTAATATAGAATTGCTTATCACTTTCTCTGTTAATAACCTGCTAGAACCTGCAGTGCGATTAGCATACCTTCCAGCATTCAAATGGACAAGTGGGGCACTTTAATTTTAGGCGGTGCTGTTCTGAGAAGGTTTAGGCGATTTAATAATAACACGAATGCATCAAAAACATGAACGATATACCAGCGGTATTTGTGACTCTATTAATACATTTTATCTTAATTATTCCTACAGCTGCTTCCCACTTTGTGTGTTATCTTAATTTATATTCTAAATAACAATATTTACCCAATTAAACCAAAAATTGAAGTAGAGCTGAGCGCTATATACATATAGAGTGTTAATTCAGCTTTAATTTAATAAATATTTGAGATTAAAATTCAATTAACAGAACCTGCGGAGAACTTCTAACGTAAAGTAAACACACTGTGCTGTAAGATCTGATTGAAAGTGAAACCATTTTGTTTTCATGCAGGCCGTGTCGGTCACAGCCAGGGGAGGTATGGCTAGGGCTGCATAAACAAAAATCAATTAACTCCTACATGGCTGAGAATTGAGCAGTGAGACTGCAGGAGTACAATCTATACACCAAAACTGCTTCATTAAGATAAAGTTGTTATGGTGCCTATAGTGTGCCTTTGATAACTAGAATTGAATATGAAAGTAAACATAAGCAGTCTTCGTAAATTAATGCACAGCGTGTTTCATCAACTCACGCCTTCTCCTACATGTTCATACATGATAAACCGCAAACTATACTGTGTAAGCAGACTACACTGTGAAACACACTAATAGAACATATATTCTACATACAGATACACTGCACCCCTATATTATATTCTACATACAGATACACTGCACCCCTATATTATATTCTACATACAGATACACAGCACCCCTATATTATATTCTACATACAGATACACAGCACCCCTATATTATATTCTACATACATATACACAGCACCCCTATATTATATTCTACATACAGATACACAGCACCCCTATATTATATTCTATATACAAATACACAGCACCCCTATATTATATTCTACATACAGATACACAGCCCCCCTATATTATATTCTACATACAGATACACAGCCCCCCTATATTATATTCTACATACAGATACACAGCACCCCTATATTATATTCTACATACAGATACACAGCCCCCCTATATTATATTCTACATACAGATACACAGCACCCCTATATTATATTCTACATACAGATACACAGCCCCCCTATATTATATTCTACATACATATACACAGCACCCCTATATTATATTCTACATACATATACACAGCCCCCCTATATTATATTCTACATACAGATACACAGCACCCCTATATTATATTCTACATACATATACACAGCACCCCTATATTATATTCTACATACAGATACACAGCCCCCCTATATTATATTCTACATACAGATACACAGCCCCCCTATATTATATTCTACATACAGATACACAGCCCCCCTATATTATATTCTACATACAGATACACAGCCCCCCTATATTATATTCTACATACAGATACACAGCACCCCTATATTATATTCTACATACATATACACAGCACCCCTATATTATATTCTACATACATATACACAGCCCCCCTATATTATATTCTACATACAGATACACAGCACCCCTATATTATATTCTACATACATATACACAGCACCCCTATATTATATTCTACATACATATACACAGCCCCCCTATATTATATTCTACATACAGATACACAGCACCCCTATATTATATTCTATATACAAATACACAGCACCCCTATATTATATTCTACATACAGATACACAGCACCCCTATATTATATTCTACATACAGATACACAGCCCCCAATATTATATTCTACATACAGATACACAGCACCCCTATATTATAGTCTACATACAGATACACAGCCCCCCAATATTATATTCTACATACAGATACACAGCACCCCTATATTATATTCTACATACAGATACACAGCCCCCCTATATTATATTCTACATACAGATACACAGCACCCCTATATTATATTCTACATACAGATACACAGCCCCCCTATATTATATTCTACATACATATACACAGCACCCCTATATTATATTCTACATACAGATACACAGCACCCCCTATATTATATTCTATATACAAATATATAGCACCCTTATATTATATTCTACATATATATATATATAATATACAAATACACAGCACCCACATATTATATTCTACATACATATATCTTACATACACATATAAAGCACACATATATTACACATACAGTTCTCTGATATTTCATACCATGATACATTACACATTGTATATACATTGTATATAGCCAGTAGGCACATATTACACATATTACAAGCACTCACCCCTCACACACTCACAGTTGGTCCTGGGGGCTGAAAAGGGCCCACTCAATTCTCTGTACCTGTTGGTGTCTGAGGCTCTGCTTGGACATACTGACAGTGGGTGGGAGGGAGCGGGAATGACAGATCAGGGTGGGCTGACGAAGGATAAAGTTACACATTCCCCCCCACCCCCCAAAAAAAAAAAAAGAGTGATTAACCCTTCCTAGCCATTATCTGTGTATTAAGCATTCCCGCAGACCAGGCAATATTCTCTGCGCCAGTGGGAGCAGAATCACAATTAAACATGGTGGAAAGTTCTAAAAGTGGAACATATTTATCCAGATGCCATCAGCGTTTTTTAGTCTAATTGTCGGCAAATTTTTGAAGCAAACTATTAAATCTGTTTTTTGCATTTTTCTGCCACTTTTCCCACCGCTATAAATTCTTTTTCCCACCCCTATAAATTTGGCAGAATTTACTATAAAGAAAACTCACTTTTTAAAAAACTAATAAATACGATCACAATAAAGATGGAATTTAACTTTTTCAGAACATGGTGATAAATATCGCCCAATGTATCTATCGCTTCTACTGGATGCCATGACGACAGTGCTACTCGAACTTTGCAGATCATTTCTGCGCACTTTGAGAAATCTCTCTCATACAGAATATTCCGAGCGCGTGGTGTACAGGGAATCAGTGCAGATTTATTTTCCACCGAGTGTTTGCGCTCGGGGTGTTTGCAGCGTCATTTTACACACAGTGCCAGGAGCAGCAGCAAAAAAAAAAAAAAATAGATTATTCTAAACAATTTAGTTGTTTTTTTTTCACGTTTTTTTTTTCTATTTCTAAACCGGAATACAAACATAAAAGGAATCAACGCACTGGGAAAGTGGCCGTAAAATGTCCAACAATTATCTAGAAACTAGAGGCTACTGACCCATTGAGTCTGCCACCCTTACCGAACACAGGGTATCCATTACTGAATGATCTGAGTGAGGGTCTATACCCTCTTCTGCTCTTACCCCCGTCCTCCATGACATTTCTTAACTCGGCAGCAGCTGTCCTTCAAGCAGATTCTCCAAAACATTTTTGTTAAACTTCAAGCTAAATATAGGGCTGGAATATCGCTCTGTGTTTCTACACAACCACATCATTTTATATATACATATAAATGTTATTGCCTATAAAAAAGGTACGCAGCAACCTAATTAGGTATATGTAAATACCCATATTTGTGCACGTACCCATCCATACACACCTTTCTACCACAAGAAGGGTGAGTAGATATATTTGGGGGTCAGTAAATTGAGCAGAAGCAAAGCTTTATTGTGCCGTAGGGTTGTTTCATCAACCTGAAGTAGAAGTGTATAATACAACAAATCTCAGTCTCTCTGATTTATTCTATGAGGGAACCTGCCTTCCATCTCTCTAATAAGTTACAAAGATTGTGTTAAGACCAAGTCCCCCACTTTTTATTAGACAGGGAATGTAACTGATCACCTGGCACCCCGACTGGGTATCTCCATTGAAGGATGCTCCTAGCGCTTCCTGAGGACTCCAAGCACTGCAGCAGACACCACAACCACCGAACTGGAGAAGCATACAAATGCTCTCAAGCATATGAATGCTGTAAGCAGCTGAACAGGAAAAGCATACAATCAGCTTACACTCCTGGCAATCAGCATACAATCCAATTCCCCCAATAACGAGACAACACTTAGTTTTCAGGTCAAGAAGAACTGACTGGACTGGCACATACAGCCTCTTTTATTCACAATCCACAAACACAGTACTGTCCACAGGGTTTTGAAATACAACCAATCAATCCGTACAATACACACAGACACTCCCACACAAAATCCTCCCCTCTGCCTGTGATATGATTACTGAACACAATGGTTAATCTAATTATCACAGGCAGAGAAATACAGTATTATAAAACATATCACAGGGACCCCAAAACATGCAATAACCCCATAAAAATGGGAACCGGGGGATCTGGGTGAACCACATATCCAAAATTCACCCAGATCCGTTCAGTAGTTTGGAAGATACAGTTTAATGCAGATTCCGCAGAACATATACAGGCTATATGAAAAATAATTACTGTATAATGTGTCCCCTGTTGTATAGTTTAAAACTACTGCACGATGTCTCTGTGCACCAAATACTGGCGAGATGGCACCGTGTAGAAAAGTCCAAACAGTGTCTGTGAGTTAAAATGGCCGCCATCCATTGTTCTCACCATGTGCTTCATCCATTGTTCTCACCATGTGCCTCTGATACATGAAATGGTGGCCACCCAGTAACTCCACAGTTTGTCTGGTAGTCTATCCAGCCGGACCAACAGATGAAACACATGGGGAACAGTGCAACAAACAAAGGGAATCATAAAAATATGGACAATAGTCATGTTTGTGCACAATCTCCAGTTTGTCACAGGGCACAAATAGTGTTTTCAAATGCCATATATCCCAGGGCCATAGTCAGAAGGTAGGAGGCGGGCAAGCAGCCCCCTCCAAGAACACGTGGCGAGGCCTGTTCCGCCACAGGGAATACAAAGTATAGCCATAAACCTCTAGGACTTCCCACTCTTCATGGCATGGTGCAGGTAATGCCAGATTCCTAGGAGGTAGGTGAAACTGTGTGAATTCATGGCTGAGTTTCCATTGCAGGTGCTCATCAGATTGGAAGAACTTCCTTGTTTGTCATTTTAACATTCCTTCGTAAATTCTCTGATGTTTCTGTTTGCATACCGGATCTCTCCGTCCCCTTCTGCTGGCCTGGGGCAGCTATAAAAGCAATTTTAGACATTTACACCCTCAGCATAAACAAAATAGAACTAAAAGAAGGTAAGTAAACAGCAAAAAGTGATTACTCACCGTAAAGAAACCAGTAGTATTGTTCAGGGAGAAAAATGAAACGTTCATGCCTAGTGCAAAGCCGAGGGGCCATGAGTATGTAGACAAAGCGTCTCTCGCCCAGATAGATCTCCTAAATACACCAGGCCACGTACATCATGGAATGGAAAAGAAGAGCAAAGGTCCCATTTTCCTCCACCGATATATAGCATTAGAGAACGGACTTCTGATTATCACTTATTAAAGAAACAGGTGAACAAACTTTCCCAGTGAAGAAGCGATTCAACCAGAAGGACGTTCAACATAGATATAAAAATAGGTACAAAGTATATAGATATAAAATATATATAATATAATCTGGACAAGGGCAGCTACATACACCAGCAAGCGACTAGATGATTTTTAAAACACCCCAAAAGTACCCCCAAAATAAAGTGAAACCCCACAAAAGTTACAGTGGTTAATTAGGACCAATTATTGTAGGAGAATATATAGAGCTATGGATGGATGGATGGAAAAACAGGAGTTTCATCCACAGTCTTTTGGAAGAAGCAGGAGAATTAATCGTGTTATACAGAGAAGAATTGAATAGTTTGCATTATACATTTCTATTACTTGGTCTTATTTCACTGACTTTTGCTTGAGATTGTCCAGTATATTTTCTGTATAGTGTCCAGATGGGGCAAATATGATTTACTTTTGAATTGGTACTCCATACTGGGCATCCTTGCCATTGCTGTGGGTCCCTATTGGTTGGAGAAAGCCACAGGCTAAATGGAGTGTTCTTATTAATAATATCTTATGATTCAAGAATTGATCAAGCAGGAAATTTTACAGGAACTTTAGTCACCAAAATAATTCCATGAATAGCCATTCATCGGTTTAGTCCATCACTACCCAAACATCACTAATTGTGCCAGTTTTATAGTGTCATACCTACCGTCAGTGTGTTGCTCCTCGCAGCTTCTTGTTTGGGCACGTCTATGTACGCGAACTCGCAGTTGCACCGAATGTCTCATGCTAGAACACTTATTCGTCATACACGAAGGACTTTGCTGTTGATGTGAAGTTGGCAGTCTGCCGGTGTCATGTCTTCTGGTGCTCCCCTACAACGTGGTCCAAATCAGACCACTAGTATTTAACTGGTGGCCTTTCTTGCCATGTTGTGGTTCTTGCTTAGCCCAATAGTGCGTTGATGTGATATTTCTCTTTTCCTGTTACTGACCTTGGCTGGATTATTATTTAGTCTGTTCTATGGATTCCTAAATTTTGGCAAGTCTATCGTTTATTTGAATCTCTCCTACCCTTGACCTTGTCTATGTCTCTGACCATTGTTACGTTAAGCCTGGCCGCTCTAAGGTTGTAGATTAAGGTCTCTGTGTTTGGGGTCCTTTACATATAGTGTGACATATAGATTGTTACCTCATTTGAACACATTTGATTAATCGCTAAACTCTGTGACGACTGACTGTTGGAATGCGACGTTGAGCGGTAGCTGACAGAGTTACAGTTTTCATATACTAACTGCAAGATGCGACACACCCACAACATGCAGCATATCAGAACAAAATCCGACTGCACCGAACTACAATGCTGATCTTAGAATAGTAAGGAGCAACACGCACAGGCACATGTGCCTCAAAATGAAAATGTTTGAATCATCCCAACTTCCTCGTCCTTTGCTCAAACAGGACAGACGAGTTCTACATGTGAAGTCAAGTGACAGGCATATTGAAGAAAAAACACACAAAAAAAAAAAAAAAACAATACACAACCCCCCAGCCCTCCATAGTGGGCCAAATAGATCTGTAGAATGTGGTGAATAACCATTAGGTATGACTTGCAACCCACGTTTGCCACCAGTGATCTCATCAACCAAATATCCATTGTTTGGATAGGTTATAACATAACAGAAAGGGTTTCAGACTATTTCTCCTTTTGGTGAGAGAATAGACAAATCACCCAATATGCTGACTGTAATGTAGAATAGACTGCCTAGCGGGGGTGCTACATGGCATTAATACCATGTTAAACCTCTTTATACAATAACAACCCTGCAGAGTTTCCAACAATCCAGATTCTGTTTACATAACAGAAATGTCTGTTTATACAACATGTTCCTGCAAATATTATCAGACGGTAGACCAAAGCCAATCTGGAAGGTCTGATAGCCGACTGCCCAATATAGAACCTCACAGAGTGTTCCAGCTCGCCCTCCATAATATCGTACTGCCTGCAAGAACCCATCCCTTGGACCTAACTGGTACACTGCTGGCTGCCTAATCAAAAAAAGGCAATTCATTAACAAAATCGCTAGTGATCTATCTTTGGCAAAACGGAATCCGATAGCATAATCTGCCGAGAGCTGGCACAGGAATTGTTATGAAATAAAGACGGCCTATATCTCTGCCATAAACTGGTCCAAGATAGATGATGTAATAGCAGACTGCCGGGATGACTTCCTGTTTGAAGACACATCTGATAGATTCCATGTTGGAAACATCTATGAGACAGATATTAAAGGGACACTATAGTCACCTGAACAACTTTAGCTTAATGAAGCAGTTTTGGTGTATAGAACATGCCCCTGCAGCCTCACTGCTCAATCCTCTGCCATTTAGGAGTTAAATCCCTTTGGTTATGAACCCTAGTCACACCTCCCTGCATGTGACTTGCACAGCCTTCCATAAACACTTCCTGTAAAGAGAGCCCTATTTAGGCTTTCTTTACTGCAAGTTCTGTTTAATTAAGATTTTCTTATCCCCTGCTATGTTAAAAGCTTGCTAGACCCTGCAAGAGCCTCCTGTATGTGATTAAAGTTCAATTTAGAGATTGAGATACAATTATTTAAGGTAAATTACATCTGTTTTTTTTTTTCATGCAGGCTCTGTCAATCATAGCCAGGGGAGGTGTGGCTAGGGCTGCATAAACAGAAACAAGGCGATTTAACTCCTAAATGACAGTGAATTGAGCAGTGAAATTGCAGGGGAATGATCTATACACGAAAACTGCTTTATTTAGCTAAAGTAATTTAGGTGACTATAGTGTTCCTTAAAGAAGTTAAAGTGTCTCTGGAATGTTTTCACTCTCAGCCAATCACAGCCACCCATTGCTGCTCATTAGTCCAATGTAAAACAGAGGTGATGGGGTGCATCAAAATTAATCGGCAGAAACGCGGTCCTGTAAGAGCCTCGCCCCTGGCAGCCATGGATGTGCCATGTGTGTCCAGCCCTCAATTTACACAAATAACGTTATATACATATATTAATGGCACATGGTAATAGTAATAAAAGGGGAAATAATTATCGCTCCAACTGCAGCGTCACATATCACATCACAAGATACAGTAATGGTTGCCGGCCACTCACACTATCACATTTGATGATCTCAGCCAATGCCATAGGAAAGCATTGGGAGGCTATTGTGCATGCGCTAATCAGCATCTCCTCATATAGTCAATAGACTCAATACATCTCTATGGGGAGTGTTCAGCGTTTGCATGCAGAGTATGGATACGCTGAATGTCAGTGCTGCACATTATGCAGCACTGACACAGGAAGCACCATTAGTGGCCATTTAAGTGACTGTCACTGGAGGTTCTGCTAGGCAGCAATGTAAACACTGACATTTCTCTGAAAAGCCTGCAGGGACTGGCTATAGACACCGGAACCACTGCATTAAGCTGTATACTATACAATAAGGTATATACTATACAATAAGAAAGGTTGGCGTTAACAGGTTAAATAATTGGGGGTCACTGAGCCCAGGTTCACACCTAGAAACCTTATCGTTGTTATAATGTAATTTCTCAACAATATATATATTTTATAAAACAGGTTTTTAATACATTGTATAACGTATCCTGATCTTTAAATTGTTGGTGTTGTGTCTAAAATCAAAATAACTGCTGTTGTAGACTCCCTTAATGTTTTAGGGTTTGTTTTTCATTTGACAATCTGCATATATTTATGTGAATTCCAGATCACCGGTGCACAGTCACATATATCCTCCAGGAATGAAAACACAGCTAGTTTCTTATAACAAGGCGTGTTAACGAAGAAAGTGATTCACTCTCTAATTATCGAGGAAGTAAATATCGGTTGCTCTCAGGAATTTTTGTCAGTCTAGCAACAGAGGCCGGCTCCAGCAATTTCATCTGGTTGACATAAATCCAATTGAATCTTAGTTAGTCCAACTCAATCCGTCAGCTGGCATGAGTCAACCTGTAGCTCAGACAGTGTACAAATACAACTCCCATAACTGTCAGCCAGCCAGAGGTCTATCATACAATAGGAGGTCTATCATACAATAGGGGAGATGGAGAAGGGCTTTCCTTCCCCCAATTCCGGTCACGTAGTCCAGGGCTCCTTACAGTCTTGCTTTCAACAGCAGGGATTTTGTGGTCCTGTCCGGCCATCAAAATTTCCTTGGTGTCCTGCATACCAGGGGTCTGTCCCCGAGCAGTACAACGCAAGTGCATTGTAAGAAGCGAATGCTGTGGGCACGAAGACCATGCAAACAGTGCTTCACCGGTGCCCTCTGTATGGCCCTGTATGTAGAGGGCAAGCTGTGAGCCAGGCATCCCTTTCAGTAGATGGGCTTGGCCATTATGAGTGTCACCAGCCACCCATCCTGATTTCATCAATCCCAATGTTGGGGGATCTGTGTAGCCCCAACAGTGTACAGGCAGTCATTGAAATATTTCAGTTATTGAGCTGGAGGGCGATTGCTCGGCATTCTAACTAGAGGGGAATAGTTCGGTGAAATAGCTGTCTGGCATAGAAGGCATTGATAACCACAACCAAAAGCCACAATAGACGAGTACTACCGTCAAAGCTAGGTACTTTAGCAATACAGATCAACTAACTACAATCCACAATTTAATGAACAGAACTTTCACTGGATACAAAAGTGTATTTTAAACTTTAGACAAGAATAGTTGAATTGTAAAAAAGACAGCTAGGTTTCCATTTAGAGAATATTCGTCTAAAATGTAAAACTCACTTCGAATTTCTGACTATTCACTCTTTAGAACGAGGGTAGGCTATCTTAAACATCTGGAGTACTGAAATAGTCCACATCTCCCACAATGCTGGCAAAGCATCGGCGGAGATGTAGGCCACAATATCCGGAGTATCGGAGGTGAATAACCTTATGACATCATAAATTACCCACAAATGTACTCACGAGGGGGGCACATCGACACTCTCTCCTTCTCGTCTTGCACTTCAGGTGGAAAGTTTGCAGAGTCCGATGTTTTCTCTGGCAGAACCTTTTCATCCTTGAACAAGATTCCCGCCGGTTTAGGAGGTATGGGTGGGTGTGAGTCCTCTCCATTGCCCACAATATAATCCTTCTGGAAGAGTCCAGCAATCTTCTTCACCGAAATACCAGACACAGAGGGCTCAGCCACACAGGATCCTGGGAGTTCCACGACAGACTGCTTCACGGGGATCGGAACAGGATTGGGGGGACATGGAGGAGGCTTCTGGGGAGGTTTTGGGGGCAAGTTAGGAGGAGGACGGTTTGGAGGCTTGGCTTTAATGATGCGGACAGGCTTCTGGGATAAGGGGACAAGAGGGGGGAGGGCTTCCATGGCTGACATTTTGTCAAAAATGTCACAATCGCATTATAGGTAAAACTGCAAGAAAAAAGAAAAAAAATATGTATTAAATACTGCTTTATGACAAAACCACAATATAAACACACTTTCACATAATAGTGTGTGCCCTGGCTGTGCCTTCCTAAATTTTATAAATAGAAAAAAAACAGAACATCTTAAGGGGAAAAAAAAAAGACAACAAAAATTTCAGAGATCTTACAAACCCCTTTAATAACTACATTAATGGGAGGACCCAGGAGTCTAACATTACCTCCTGAGCAACACAGACAGGGGGCGCTATGAGTCTGTCCCTCCCCCTGCAGGGTGACACAGTGACACAGACAGGGGACGCTACCAGTCTGTCCCTCCCCCTGCAGGGTGACACAGTGACACAGACAGGGGGCGCTATGAGTCTGTCCCTCCCCCTGCAGGGTGACACAGTGACACAGACAGGGGGCGCTATGAGTCTGTCCCTCCCCCAGCAGGGTGACACAGTGACAGACAGGCGGCGTTATGGGTCTGTCCCTCGTGCAGGGTGACACAGTGACACAAACAGGGGGCGCTATGAGTCTGTCCCTCATGCAGGGTGACACAGACAGGGGGCGTTATGGGTCTGTCCCTCGTGCAGGGTGACACAGTGACACAGACAGGGGGCGCTATGAGTCTGTCCCTCATGCAGGGTGACACAGACAGGGGGCGTTATGAGTCTGTCCCTCGTGCAGGGTGACACAGACAGGGGGCACTATGAGTCTATGCCTCGTGCAGGGTGACACAGTCAGGGGCACTATGAGTCTGTCCCTCGTGCAGGGTGACACAGCCAGGGGGCACTATGAGTCTATGCCTCGTGCAGGGTGACACAGTCAGGGGCACTATGAGTCTGTCCCTCGTGCAGGGTGACACAGCCAAAGGGCGCTATGAGTCTATGCCTCGTGCGGGGTGACACAGTCAGGGTGCGCTATGAGTCTATGCCACGTGCAGGGTGACACAGCCAGGGGCACTAGGAGTCTGTCCCTCGTGCAGGGTGACACAGACGGGGCGCTATGAGTCTATGCCTCGTGCGGGGTGACACAATCAGGGGCACTAAGAGTCTGTCCCTCGTGCAGGGTGACACAGACAGGGGGCGTTATGAGTCTATGCCTCGTGCGGGGTGACACAGCCAGGGGCACTATGAGTCTGTCCCTCGTGCAGGGTGACACAGCCAGAGGCACTATGAGTCTGTCCCTCGTGCAGGGTGACACAGACAGGGGGCGCTATGCGTCTGTACCTCGTGCGGGGTGACACAGATATAATATGTTGTTGGGAGCAGATCCCAGACAGGAAATACATTCAGACTTTTCCTTTAGTACGTTTTACATCCCAAATATTTATTTTTATCGTTGGCGACAGGAAAAGAATTTCCTTTTCATTCAATGCTGTTATTTATTTAGTGCTGAATGTCTGAACTAAAACTCGGATTTGTAAACCCGTTGAGTATTACTTTATTGCCCCGTCCTATCACCAAATACTGCATCCTGCCCTGTGCTATACGGGGGCAGCACGTGATATAGTATATAGATATACACACACAATAATGGCATGATTCAGTTAGAATTCTAAGGAGGCCCACTAATGGGCAGGAGCTACGTGGAACAGCCTTCTAATAGAAGGAACTGCTTCCCACCTCCACTACATCTAGCAACGAGCAGACAAAATCTGGCGTTCTTTCTCCAGCTCTAATCCCACAGAGCTGGCTCATTGGCTGAGAGTGTGAGTTAATCGTCTCAGCCACTGGACTTGGCTCAGATAGAGTGCTTACAGTCTGATGTAGTGTAGTTATGTAGTGAAATTTCCCGGTGGGCCGCGACACCTGGTGCTGGGCTGACAGCCCTTATCATTGGCTCTTGTGATCCTGGCTGGCCATGTGTGAGCTTTGGGAGCCAGGCGGCCGGCACAGCTCACACATGGCCGCCCCGGATCATAAAAAAAAAACAACAAATAATGTGCGGCGGGGCTGGAGCTAGCACGCAGTGGGGCGGAGCTAGCATGCGGCAGGGGGCCTGGCTAACTGCAGCATGGGAAGCAGGAAGGAGTCCCTGCTTCCCCAACAACCAGCCTCCAGGAGCTCCAAGGGATGTGGAGGTAAGAAGCAGGTCAGTGTGTCTCTGTGTGTGTGCGTGTGTGTGTGTGACTGCCTGTGTGTGTGTGTGTGACAGCCTGTGTGTTTATGTATGACTGTCTGCCTGTGTGTGTTTGTGAGAGAGTGTGTGGCTATCTGCCTGTGTGTGTTTGACTGTCTTCCTGTGTGTGGCTGTCTCCCTGTGTGTAGATGGCTGATAAGGCCGACAGGAGGGAAGTGCTCAGTGCTCCCTCCTGTCACTCCCTCACTGTAGCGTGGCCGAGCTCTGTATGGTCCAGAGGTACAGGGAGCATCTGTCTCCTGTACCCGGCCGGACTAACAGGAAGTGCACATGAGTGTTAGTCCGGCCGGGTACAGGAAACAAAAGCTCCCTGTACCCGCGGACCATGCAGAGCTCCGCCACGCTACAACAGAGGTGGGGGAGGGGGGAGAAGAAGAAACTGGTAGGGAAGGGGGGAGAAGAAGAAATTGACGGGGGGAGAAGAAGAAATTGACAGGGGGTGCGAGTGACAGGGGAGGGAGGGGGAAATGAGAGTGGGGAGGGGAGAAGGGAGAGACAAGGGAGGGGGAGAAGATAGTGACAAGGGAGGGAGAGGGGGAGAAGAGAGTGACAAGGGAGGGGGGAGAGACTGACATCCATCACACACACACAATGCACCCCTTACACACAAAGACAATGCACCCCTTGCACACAGAAAAACACACAATGCATTACACACACAGACACACACACAATGCATCCCTTACACACACAGAAACACACAATGCATTCCTTACACACACTCAATGCACCCCTTACAGACTCACACACTGCATCCCATATATACACAGAAACACACCTTGCAGTCCTTACACATACAAACACAGATTCACACAACGCATTCTTTACACACATATCAGGACATCCCCTACACACTCCACCCCCTGTGAACAAACTCAAACTCCCAGAACATTGATTTTTGTGACCACAGTTACAAACAGCCTCCAGAGAGCCTGTTCTACACCAGACCAGTGGAGCCAGACTGCAGCTAGCGCCCATCATCATCCTCATCTGGTTGTAAGTAGGCAATCTAGTATATTATTCGTGGCACTAAGCTCTAATTTACCTCACATTAAAGAAACACTATAGTCCCCAGAACCACTGCAGCTTAATGTAGTGGTTCTGGTGTCTATAGCCTGTCCCTGCAGGCCTTTTAATGTAAACACAGCAGCACTGCAGCACTGGCGTTAGTTAACATGGCAGATCATATGGGTGGGGCATTGTGAATTCACACGGGGGGGGGGGGCAAACTTTACTTTTGCCTAGGGCGGCAAAAATCCTTGCACCGGCCCTCTGTGTGTGTGTGCGCATCTGCTAGTGAGTGAGCTTCTCTGTGTGTGTGCATCTGCTAGTGAGGGAGCTTCTGTGTGTGTGCACCTGCTAGTGAGTTTGTGTGTGTGCCTGCTAGTGAGTGAGCTTGTATGTGTGTCAGTGAGCTTGTCCGTAGGGATTGTTTATGTGTTAGTGAGCTTGTCTGTAGGGAGCATGGGTGTGTCTGCTCCTGTTTGTGGTGAGCATGTGTGTGCAGTGAGCTTGTCTGTAGTAAGCTTGTGTGTGTGTATCAGAGTTTGTCTGTACTAAATTTGTGTGTGTACCAGTAACCTTGTCTGTGTGTGCATGTGAGTATGCTTTACTGTATAATTTAATTACCCTAAAAGGACTAATATTTTGAATATTCCAATAATAAATTATATATATATATATATATATATATATATATATATATATATATATATAGTGTGTGTGTAGCTATGACATAGCACAATGACTTATGGGGCTGCAATAGATTTGTGAAGAATGAAGTGGTAGACCGGCCCTGTGCCTAGGGTTAGACCATGAATTTGCTTGGCCCCAATAATCATCTGTTTGTAAAGAATGAAAGGACCTCAAGTTAGACCATGAATTTGCTGGGCCCCCAAAACCATCTCGATGTGAAGAATAAGAAGAGGGGACCTGACTGGGCTCCATGGGATCCAATTTCTTCTTTGATTGTTTTTGTCCCACCAGAGGACCACCCTAGACACTGCTGCCTCTGCAAGCAGCCCACATGTGGATTGCCCTTTTACGAGGAAGTTTCCTATTCCCAGCGTGGTCTGGTTGAGGTGCAGAGCAGTTGTGATAGGGGCAATACCCAGACGGACAGGATGCATGCCCATGAATTTAAATGGTCTCTGTGTTAGTACAAGGGTTCCCTGGCAGCAACGTGTTAGTTTCCACCATCCTAACCTGACGTTAACCCCATAACTGCTCTGTGCGTAACGGAGACAGGAAAGGCTCAACTTCCTACGATCATCATCCAGGAAGGGAAAATTCTCCTAATCACATCCTGAAACTATAAACAGGAGACAGAGCCAACAACACTGTGAGAGCAGGTACTAACATAACACAGAGAGAATACAGTATATAGAAAAAAGTGACCTGCAACCCACAGAGCTAGCAATTTAACACACAGCTTTAGAGCTGCAGAGACCTGTGTGTGCAGTTAGATAGAGAACCCACAGACTAATAAGGTCCCTTAACAAAAGCGGTGACTGAACATCAATAGGATTAATGTGAAGTGATTGTAGTCTTAGCCTAATGTTTTCCCAGACAGTCAGTGCATCCTGTTACCAGCTGATATGTTCTCAGACCCCCACCCTGGGCTGTACAGGAGTGGCCTGTATGGGATTCTGACATACTGTGGAAGGGTTAATATGAACTCAGTGAATTACATCACAGTGTAACATGATGCTACTATAGCAATTCTAAATAGGATTACAGGAAACTGCCCCAATTAACACACATGGCCACATGCCCCATCCTTAGTTTAACAGAATATTCTGCCTCCTCTCGACACGTTACATGACATATACAATATATAAGGCCAGGCATGTTATATACAGAATACAGTGACATACAATACTATACAATATATACAGCTGTGCTTCATGTGACAACACTGAAGACATGAAACTCTGTTACAATGTAAAGTAGTAAGTGTACAGCCTGTATAACAGTGTGAATTTGCGGTCCCCTCAAAATAACAACACACAGCCATTAATGTTTAAACCGTTGGCAACAAAAGTGAGTACACCCCAAAATGGAAATGTCCAAATTGGGCCTAAATTAGCCATTTTACCTCCCCGGTGTCATGTGACTTGTTAGTGTTACAAGGTCTCAGGTGTGAATGGGGAGCAGGTGTGTTAAATGTGGTGTTATCACTCTCACACTCTCTCTCATACTGGTCACTGGAAGTTCAACATGGCACCTCATGGGAAAGACATCTCTGAGGATCTGTAAAATGAATTGTTGCTCTACATAAAGATGGCCTAGGCTATAAGAAGATTGCCAAGACCCTGAACCTGAGATGCAGCACGGTGGGCAAGACCATACAGCGGTTTCACAGAACAGGTTCCAATCAGAACAGCCCTCGCCATGGTCGAACAGTGCATGTGCTTGGCGTCATATCCAGAGGTTGTCTCTGGGAAATAGACCTATCAGTACTGCCAGCATTGCTGTAGAAGTTGAAGGGGTGGGGGGTCAGCCTGTCAGTGCTCAGACCATAAGCCGCACACTGCATCAAATTGGTCTGCATGACTGTCGTCCCAGAATTAAGTCTCTTCTAAATATGATGCACAAGAAAGCCCCCCAAACAGTTTGCTGAAGACAAGTATACTAAGGACATGGATTACTGGAACCATGTCCTGTGGTCCGATGAGACCAAGATAAAACTTTTTTGGTTCAGATGGTGTCAAGCGTGTGTGGCTGCAACCAGGTGATGAGTACAAAGACAAGTGTGTCTTGCCTACAGTCAAGCATGTTGGTCAGAGTGTCATGGTCTGCGCCTGCATGAGTGCTGTCGGCACTGGGGAGCTACAGTTCATTGAGGGAACCATGAATGTCAACATGTACTGTGACATACTGAAGCTGAGCATGATCCCCTCCCTCCGGAGACTGGGCCGCAGGGCAGTATTCCAACATGATAATGACCCCAAACACACCTCCAAGATGACCACTGCCTTGCTAAAGAAGCTGCAGGTAAATGTGATGGACTGCCCAAGCATGTCTCCAGACCTAAACCCTATTGAGCATCTGTGAGGCATCCTCAAACGGAAGGTCTCTAACATCCACCAGCTCCGTCATGCCGTCATGGGGAAGTGGAAAAGGACTCCAGTGGCAACCTGTGAAGCTCTGGTGAGCTCCATGCCCATGAGGGTTAAGGCAGTGCTGGAAAATAATGGTGGCCACACAAAATATTGACACTTTGGGCCCAATTTGGACATTTCCACTTAGGGGTGTGCTCACTTTTGTTGCCAACTGTTTAGACATTAATGGCTGTGTGTTGCGTTATTTTGAGGGGACAGCAAATTCACACTGTTATACAGGCTGTACACTTACTACTTTACATTGTAGCAGAGTGTGATTTCTTCATTGTTGTCACATGAAAAGATATAATAAAATATTTACAAAAATGTGAGGGGTCTACTTGCCTATGGGAGAAACTATATGTGTGTACTGCAAAATATACACAATGTAATATTATGTACGTACTGTATGTACTAATCAGCACACGGATAGAAAAAACATACATTATTTATTTATTTTACGGAGCCTCCTTTTTATCCCTCTGGTGGTAAGCACAAAAAAAAAATACTAAAAACAGCATTTACTGGCTGTCCCCTAGCTCTCAATCATCTTTTTTGCCGACATCTGCATTATTCCCAATCACTAATTAAACCAACACACTTGCCAATAGTGCAGTCGGTTTTGTTAACTATGGCACAGTCGGTTTGGTTAGCGATGGCGCAGTCGGTTTGGTTAACTATGGCGCAGTCGGTTTGGTTAACTATGGCGCAGTCGGTTTGGTTAGCGATGGCGCGGTCGGTTTGGTTAGCGATGGCGCAGTCGGTTTGGTTAGCGATGGCGCAGTCGGTTTGGTTAACTATGGCGCAGTCGGTTTGGTAAACGATGGCGCAGTCGGTTTGGTAAACGATGGCGCAGTCGGTTTGGTAAACGATGGCGCAGTCGGTTTGGTAAACGATGGCGCGTTTGGTTAGCACAGACACACAGACAGGACAGACAGACAGACAATATATATATACTTAGTGTAGGTATATGTCAATCGACAGGCTGTGATGATGTGCGTTTAAAACCAGATTGCATGGTGGGATTGACATGGCATCACGTGGGACCCCAATCTCAAGGCAGCACAGCATGATTGATGGGAGTTACACTCCAGGGAAGCAGCTGCTCATTCCATCTGCCAGCATTGGTCCCTCTCCTGTTACTGAGGAGACAGACAGTGTAACTCTCCTCTCCCCAGCTACGGTCCTAGCACATCACTGATAGCTGCTGCTGGGGAACTCCCACCAATCTCAGGCAGGATATATGTCCTGCTCAAATATTAAAAGATCCATAGCTCTGATCCTAAACCCAACTTTCAAAGAAAAATCATATTAAAGGACAATGTATATAATGTAATAACCAGGGAGTATCCATCATAGACTATATGCAGAGTGTGGACATTACATTGGGTGATACAATGTATCCAGCAGTCAGTATATTATATTATAGTATATCAGACAGTGGGTTACAATGTATCCAGCAGTCAGTATATTATATTATTGTATATCAGACAGGGTGATACAATGTATCCAGCAGCCAGTATATTATATTATTGTATATCAGACAGGGTGATACAATGTATCCAGCAGCCAGTATATTATATTATTGTATATCAGACAGGGTGATACAATGTATCCAGCAGTCAGTATATTATATTATTGTATATCAGACAGGGTGTTACAATGTATCCAGCAGTCAGTATATTATATTATAGTATATCAGACAGTGGGTTACAATGTATCCAGCAGTCAGTATATTATATTATTGTATATCAGACAGGGTGTTACAATGTATCCAGCAGTCAGTATATTATATTATTGTATATCAGACAGGGTGTTACAATGTATCCAGCAGTCAGTATATTATATTATTGTATATCAGACAGGGTGATACAATGTACCAGCAGTCAGTATATTATATTATTGTATATCAGACAGTGGGTTACAATGTATCCAGCAGTCAGTATATTATATTATATTATTGTATATCAGACAGTGGGTTACAATGTATCCAGCAGTCAGTATATTATATTATTGTATATCAGACAGTGGGTTACAATGTATCCAGCAGTCAGTATATTATATTATAGTATATCAGACAGGGTGTTACAATGTATCCAGCAGTCAGTATATTATATTATTGTATATCAGACAGTGGGTTACAATGTATCCAGCAGTCAGTATTTTATATTATAGTATATCAGACAGGGTGTTACAATGTATCCAGCAGTCAGTATATTATATTATAGTATATCAGACAGGGTGATACAATGTATCCAGCAGTCAGTATATTATATTATAGTATATCAGACAGGGTGATACAATGTATCCAGCAGTCAGTATATTATATTATAGTATATCAGACAGGGTGATACAATGTATCCAGCAGCCAGTATATTATATTATTGTATATCAGACAGTGGGTTACAATGTATCCAGCAGTCAGTATATTATATTATTGTATATCAGACAGGGTGTTACAATGTATCCAGCAGTCAGTATATTATATTATTGTATATCAGACAGGGTGTTACAATGTATCCAGCAGTCAGTATATTATATTATTGTATATCAGACAGGGTGATACAATGTACCAGCAGTCAGTATATTATATTATTGTATATCAGACAGTGGGTTACAATGTATCCAGCAGTCAGTATATTATATTATATTATTGTATATCAGACAGTGGGTTACAATGTATCCAGCAGTCAGTATATTATATTATAGTATATCAGACAGGGTGATACAATGTATCCAGCAGTCAGTATATTATATTATTGTATATCAGACAGTGGGTTACAATGTATCCAGCAGTCAGTATATTATATTATTGTATATCACACAGTGGGTTACAATGTATCCAGCAGTCAGTATATTATATTATTGTATATCAGACAGTGGGTTACAATGTATCCAGCAGTCAGTATATTATATTATAGTATATCAGACAGGGGGTTACAATGTATCCAGCAGTCAGTATATTATATTATTGTATATCAGACAGGGGGTTACAATGTATCCAGCAGTCAGTATATTATATTATTGTATATCAGACAGTGGGTTACAATGTATCCAGCAGTCAGTATATTATATTATTGTATATCAGACAGTGGGTTACAATGTATCCAGCAGTCAGTATATTATATTATAGTATATCAGACAGGGTGTTACAATGTATCCAGCAGTCAGTATATTATATTATTGTATATCAGACAGTGGGTTACAATGTATCCAGCAGTCAGTATTTTATATTATAGTATATCAGACAGGGTGTTACAATGTATCCAGCAGTCAGTATATTATATTATAGTATATCAGACAGGGTGATACAATGTATCCAGCAGTCAGTATATTATATTATATTATTGTATATCAGACAGTGGGTTACAATGTATCCAGCAGTCAGTATATTATATTATAGTATATCAGACAGGGTGATACAATGTACCAGCAGTCAGTATATTATATTATTGTATATCAGACAGTGGGTTACAATGTATCCAGCAGTCAGTATATTATATTATAGTATATCAGACAGGGTGTTACAATGTATCCAGCAGTCAGTATATTATATTATTGTATATCAGACAGGGTGTTACAATGTATCCAGCAGTCAGTATATTATATTATTGTATATCAGACAGGGTGTTACAATGTATCCAGCAGTCAGTATATTATATTATAGTATATCAGACAGGGTGATACAATGTATCCAGCAGTCAGTATATTATATTATAGTATATCAGACAGGGTGTTACAATGTATCCAGCAGTCAGTATATTATATTATATTATTGTATATCAGACAGTGGGTTACAATGTATCCAGCAGTCAGTATATTATATTATAGTATATCAGACAGGGTGATACAATGTATCCAGCAGTCAGTATATTATATTATATTATTGTATATCAGACAGTGGGTTACAATGTATCCAGCAGTCAGTATATTATATTATTGTATATCAGACAGTGGGTTACAATGTATCCAGCAGTCAGTATATTATATTATATTATTGTATATCAGACAGTGGGTTACAATGTATCCAGCAGTCAGTATATTATATTATAGTATATCAGACAGGGTGTTACAATGTATCCAGCAGTCAGTATATTATATTATTGTATATCAGACAGGGTGTTACAATGTATCCAGCAGTCAGTATATTATATTATAGTATATCAGACAGGGTGATACAATGTATCCAGCAGTCAGTATATTATATTATTGTATATCAGACAGGGTGTTACAATGTATCCAGCAGTCAGTATATTATATTATATTATTGTATATCAGACAGTGGGTTACAATGTATCCAGCAGTCAGTATATTATATTATTGTATATCAGACAGGGTGTTACAATGTATCCAGCAGTCAGTATATTATATTATAGTATATCAGACAGGGTGATACAATGTATCCAGCAGTCAGTATATTATATTATAGTATATCAGACAGGGTGTTACAATGTATCCAGCAGTCAGTATATTATATTATAGTATATCAGACAGTGGGTTACAATGTATCCAGCAATCAGTATATTATATTATAGTATATCAGACAGGGTGATACAATGTATCCAGCAGTCAGTATATTATATTATATTATTGTATATCAGACAGTGGGTTACAATGTATCCAGCAGTCAGTATATTATATTATTGTATATCAGACAGTGGGTTACAATGTATCCAGCAGTCAGTATATTATATTATATTATTGTATATCAGACAGTGGGTTACAATGTATCCAGCAGTCAGTATATTATATTATTGTATATCAGACAGGGTGATACAATGTACCAGCAGTCAGTATATTATATTATTGTATATCAGACAGGGTGTTACAATGTATCCAGCAGTCAGTATATTATATTATAGTATATCAGACAGGGTGTTACAATGTATCCAGCAGTCAGTATATTATATTATTGTATATCAGACAGGGTGTTACAATGTATCCAGCAGTCAGTATATTATATTATATTATTGTATATCAGACAGTGGGTTACAATGTATCCAGCAGTCAGTATATTATATTATTGTATATCAGACAGGGTGTTACAATGTATCCAGCAGTCAGTATATTATATTATTGTATATCAGACAGGGTGTTACAATGTATCCAGCAGTCAGTATATTATATTATAGTATATCAGACAGGGTGATACAATGTACCAGCAGTCGGTATATTATATTATTGTATATCAGACAGGGTGATACAATGTACCAGCAGTCAGTATATTATATTATTGTATATCAGACAGTGGGTTACAATGTATCCAGCAGTCAGTATATTATATTATATTATTGTATATCAGACAGTGGGTTACAATGTATCCAGCAGTCAGTATATTATATTATTGTATATCAGACAGTGGGTTACAATGTATCCAGCAGTCAGTATATTATATATTATTGTATATCAGACAGTGGGTTACAATGTATCCAGTGTGTCAGACTCTCTGTCTCTGTGTACCCACTGAGCTGGGGTGGGGGTGGAGGTTGGGTGTGTACACTGACCACACAATGCCATACCCCACATGCTGGATATCCCTCTCCCCCATTCCTACCTCGCCCCGGCTGGGCACAGGACCTGGCTGCTGTTTGGGACCCCATCCTGCTTTCAATCCAAGGAACTCAATGAGGAGCTGCTGCCCTAAAGCTGGAACCCAGTAGACAGCAGGAGGAGAGCTAATAGAGAGGAGGGGCCACTATACAGGGGATGGGCAAGCTATTGTTCTAACACTCCGACCTGGAAACAGACAGCTAGCCTACCTCCTGTGTTATACAGAGAGATATAGCATGCCCTGTGTGTTATACAGAGAGATAAAGCATGCCCTGTGTGTTATACAGAGAGATATAGCATGCACAGTGTGTTATACAGAGAGATATAGCATGCACTGTGTGTTATACAGAGAGGGATATACCGTGCATTGCATGTAATACAGAGAGGGATATACCGTGCATTGCGTGTAATACAGAGAGAGGGATATACCGTCCATTGCGTGTTATACAGAGAGAGGGATATACCGTGCATTGCGTGTTATACAGAGAGAGGGATATACCGTGCATTGCGTGTTATACAGAGAGAGGGATATACCGTGCATTGCATGTTATACAGAGAGAGGGATATACCGTGCATTGCGTGTTATACAGAGAGAGGGATATACCGTCCATTGCGTGTTATACAGAGAGGGATATACCGTCCATTGCGTGTTATACAGAGAGGGATATACCGTGCATTGCGTGTTATACAGAGAGAGGGATATACCGTGCATTGTGTGTTATACAGAGAGAGGGATATACCGTGCATTGCGTGTTATACAGAGAGAGGGATATACCGTGCATTGTGTGTTATACAGAGAGAGGGATATACCGTGCATTGTGTGTTATACAGAGAGAGGGATATTCGGGCCCATTGTGTGTTATAAGTAGAGAGAGGGATATACCGGCATTGTGTGTTATACAGAGAGGGATGTACCGTGTGCATTGTGTGTTATACAGAGAGAGGGATCGTGTACGCGTGTTAGTAGAGAGAGGGATATACCGTGGGGCCCATTGCGGTTATATGAGAGAGGGATATAATCGGCCCATTGTGTGTTATACAGGAGAGAGGGATATACCGCCCATTGTGTGTTATACAGAGAGAGGATATACCGCATTGTGTGTTATACAGAGAGAGGGATATACCGCATGTGTGTTATACAGAGGGATATACCTGTACTTGTGTGTTATACAGAGAGAGGCATGCCATTGCGTGTTATACAGAGAGGGATATACCGTGCATTGCGTGTTATACAGAGAGAGGGATATACCGTGCATTGTGTGTTATACAGAGAGAGGGATATACCGTGCATTGCGTGTTATACAGAGAGAGGGATATACCGTGCATTGCGTGTTATACAGAGAGAGGGATATACCGTGCATTGCGTGTTATACAGAGAGAGGGATATACCGTGCATTGTGTGTTATACAGAGAGAGGGATATACCGTGCATTGTGTGTTATACAGAGAGAGGGATATACCGTGCATTGTGTGTTATACAGAGAGAGGGATATACCGTGCATTGTGTGTTATACAGAGAGAGGGATATACCGTGCATTGCGTGTTATACAGAGAGAGGGATATACCGTGCATTGTGTGTTATACAGAGAGAGGGATATACCGTGCATTGCGTGTTATACAGAGAGAGGGATATACCGTGCATTGTGTGTTATACAGAGAGAGGGATATACCGTGCATTGCGTGTTATACAGAGAGAGGGATATACCGTGCATTGTGTGTTATACAGAGAGAGGGATATACCGTGCATTGTGTGTTATACAGAGAGAGGGATATACCGTGCATTGTGTGTTATACAGAGAGAGGGATATACCGTCCATTGTGTGTTATACAGAGAGAGGGATATACCGTCCATTGTGTGTTATACAGAGAGGGATATACCGTGCATTGTGTGTTATACAGAGAGAGGGATATACCGTGCATTGTGTGTTATACAGAGAGAGGGATATACCGTGCATTGTGTGTTATACAGAGAGAGGGATATACCGTGCATTGTGTGTTATACAGAGAGAGGGATATACCGTCCATTGTGTGTTATACAGAGAGAGGGATATACCGTCCATTGTGTGTTATACAGAGAGGGATATACCGTGCATTGTGTGTTATACAGAGAGAGGGATATACCGTGCATTGTGTGTTATACAGAGAGAGGGATATACCGTGCATTGTGTGTTATACAGAGAGAGGGATATACCGTCCATTGTGTGTTATACAGAGAGAGGGATATACTGTAGTGGTATATGGAGTGATATCTCTGTATAATGCTTCCTATATCTCCAATATCTTGTGACTGATAAACATTGTATCCACAGATAAGGAAATAGATAAAATACCAAAAATATCCACACCTCTAATCAGTGTAAATGTAACCCATTATCATCACATACACACAAAGTAATCTGATACGGGCTGTACGACTGATAGGGAGTCCGCATGTCGATGGATTTTCTGTGTCAGCTGGGATCGGGTGTGTACTCACAACTGGCACTAATATTCCCTCTCTCCTCCCAAGCCAGCACTTACAAAGCTACACACCCTTCATTATACACAGCTATTAACTATTACAGCCTGTAACTGGACAGCTTAATGGAAATCATATATTTGTCACATTAACACAGACAGGGGGCGCTATTAGTGTGTTTCTCCTTCTGTAGATTGACACAGACAGGGTGCGCTATGAGTCTGTCCCTCCCCCTGCAGGGTGACACAGTAACAGACAGGGGGCGCTATGAGTCTGTCCCTCCCCCTGCAGGGTGACACAGTGACACAGACAGGGGGTGCTATGAGTCTGTCCCTCCCCCCGCAGGGTGACACAGTGACACAGACAGGGGGCGCTATGAGTCTGTCCCTCCCCCTGCAGGGTGACACAGACAGGGGGCGCTATGAGTCTGTCCCTCACCCTGCAGGGTGACACAGTGACACAGACAGGGGGCGCTATGAGTCTGTCCCTCCCCCCGCAGGGTGACACAGTGACACAGGCAGGGTGCGCTATGAGTCTGTCCCTCCTCCTGCAGGGTGACAGAGTGACACAGACAGGGGGCACTATGAGTCTGTCCCTCCTCCTACAGGGTGACACAGTGACACAGACAGGTGGCGCTATGAGTCTGTCCCTCGTGACAGGGGGCACTATGAGTCTGTCCCTCCTCCTACAGGGTGACACAGTGACACAGACAGGGGGCGCTATGAGTCTGTCCCTCCCCCTGCAGGGTGATACAGTGACACAGACAGGGGGCGCTATGAATCTGTCCCTCCCCCTGCAGGGTGACACAGAGAGGGGGCGCTATGAGACTGTCCCTCCCCCTGCAGGGTGTCACAATGACATAGACAGGGGGCGCTGTGAGTCTGTCCCTCCCAACGGTTACACAGCAACACAGACATGGCAACGCTCCAACCTCGCAAGAGGAACCCGGCAGAGATGCAAGATGGAGCTCCTCAGAGTCCTCTACTGTCTCTCTCCCTTCCCCGCTGGAGGCCATATTAAACTGCCTGTGGGCCGGTCAGAGATATCCTTGATCTCCCTCACCGGCCTGTCATGGAATGCAGCAGGGCTGGAGCTCGGATACCGGCCTCGGCCCTTGGCCATCGCGGCGTGTCCATGGCAGGCTGTGAATCTCTACCATGGATTGTGGGTGAGTGATCATTATGAGTCCTGCTTTTATTCCGCATCTGTTACTTTCTCTCCTCCCCATTACCCAACCTTACTGGGTAAAGCCCAATGCTTGTGAGCGACCCCAGGACCAGTCTTATTTAACCTTTTTTCATGTCCTCCTGGGTCTTTCTTCATGGCCCCACCATCCTGATATTTCCAATAAGTCCCTCTCTGGAAGTTTCCATCTCTCTATTCCTGTGGTATGCGTGTTAGACCTTGCATTGCACTGTGTTGTCTCTTAAAGGGACACTATAGGCACCTTCAGTTTACTGAAGTGGCCTGGGTGCAGTGTCCCAGATCCATTAAACCTGCAGTGGTAATTGGTGCAGTTTTTGATAAATTGCAATAAATACCTGCCTGGGTAAACTCCACCTCTAGTGGCTGTCTATCATATATTCTCTATATGGACTTCTTTGCGTCCTAATGCGATTGCAGTGATCGCTGAACATGCACATTAGGTCCCCAATGCCGGCTGACGTCGGCGGAGCCTGAACCAGCGATGAGGGAATCAGGAAAGTGATAAAGGGGCATGAGGGAGGGGGGCACGATAGGTTTTCCTTTAAGATCCCGCAAGAGTGAATACAGAGAGAAGGTGACGGGAAGCTGCAGGATGGAGGACATTTAGAGCTAAATGGATGGAGGACATTTAGAGCTTGACAGCCCATGACAAAACTGACAAAAAACAGGGAGCTTGACTTGGTCAACTTTAGTCAAGATACAGGTTCTACATAAGGAGAAGTAGTCGCTACTAAAAATTACGTATAATTTTTCAAATACACAAAAATAATAGAGAAAAACAAACAAAAAGATTTAAAAAAAAACAGTGGGACAAACTGCACCACTTTATACAGAAAACAAGTGACAAAGGGTGCTTTAAATTGTCGTCTTTAAAAATGGCGTATCCAGGATCGCTTTTATATTCCTGCTACATTACAGTCAGTATAAACAGGATAGGTTTAACATATAAATACAGTGCCTTGCAAAAGTATTCACCCCCCTTGGCATTTTTCGTATTTTGCTGCCTCGCAACCTGGAATTAGCATGGATTGTTTGAGGATTTGCATCATTTAATTTACAGAACATGCCCACAACTTTGAAGATATTTTTTTTTTTATTGTGAAGCAAACAACAAATAGGACAAAATAACAGAAAAAGTCAACGTGCATAACTATTCACCCCCCTAAAGTCAATACTTTGTAGAGCCACCTTTTGTGGCAATCACAGCTCCAAGACAGTCGCTTTGGATAAGTCTCTATGAGCTTGCCACATCTTACCACTGGGATTTTTGCCCATTCCTCCTTGCAAAACTGCTCCAGCTCCTTCAAGTTGGATGGTTTGCGCTTGTGAACAGCAATCTTTAACTCAGACCACAGATTTTCTATTGGATTGAGGTCTGGGCTTTGACTAGGCCATTGCAGCACATTTACATGTTTCCCCTTAAACCACTCAAGTGTTGCTTTAGCAGTGTGTTTGGGGTCATTGTCCTGCTGGAAGGTGAACCTCCGTCCTAGCCTCAAATCACGCACAGAGTGGTACAGGTTTTGCTCAAGAATATCCCTGTATTTAGCACCATCCATCTTTCCCTCAACTCTGACCA